TAGTCAGCTGGGTGGTGTCAGTCTGTTCACATCGACGTTGCAGACGTTTACCGAAAATCAGCCGGAGGTAGGCACAAACAAGTACGTGATCAGAGTCCACGCAGTGCTCCAACTCGAGCGACAGTTTTGGACACAACATCTCAGCGGTAACTGATCGTGATATGATCGTTTTGCGTCCATGGCTGGTAAGAAGCTGGTGGACGCCCAGTCACACTTCTGCAGGTGCTGTGTCGAAAGTTTGTGCTCGCGAGAAAGAGACAGGCATCCTCACACAGCTGTAGCAATCGCTCACCTTTATCGTTATGTTGGCTGCCCAGATGCGGCTCGTCAGAGGACAATTTCCAGAATTGGGCGTTTAGATCGCCAGCCCACACCACAGTATCCGCGCTTCTTTTGTAGCGGAGGAGATCATGAAGCTGTTGACAGAAATTATCTTTCACCGAATCAGTGCTACGGTTTGTAAAGGCATCGGCGGCAATGACAAACAGACATCGTTTGTTCCCGCGCGACTTTGTAGCATGAAACGAACCAGGTAATCTAACGGCGCACATCTCACTGTTGTGTGGGATCCAACCGATCAGAGCAGCTTCAGCCCGGGAACTGAAAACAATGCGGACGCAACTTTAACGGGCATTTAAAGCTGCATCACCGCCAGACAGGCGTAATGAGAATGGGCCGCCAGTGTCGCATGTGGGGTATCGCAGGGTAAACACGAAGCTCGAATCTTACAGGCAGGTTTCTAATAAACAGCAAAATCGAGAGATAGGGTCTCTAGTGTGCGTGCAAGTGCAGCCTGTTGACCAAGCTGCAGCAAGAAACGCACCCTGGGACATGCCAGCCTTAGCAAGACTCGAGGACTCCAAAGGGAAACGGATGAACTGACGATGTTCGCCTGGTTGATCATGTACTTGTCGACTGGATTGGAGCGACGCCCTGCGACTGTGTGTGAGTTGAAACTAGAAGACAAGCGACTATTGAAGCAAGGTGGGGGAAGCCCAAGAATTGGGGGACTGCAAACGGTAAGGGGATAAAAGTAAACTTGGAGCGGGACGATAAGGATGAAAAACGCAAGAAGGGAGATAAGAAGACTGGAAGGTCTGAGAAGTAGCATCCAAACCCCTATCTATGCTGCTCGATGCAACAGATAAGGCGCTGTTGATCATCCTCTGCGACGACCAGAAATCTAGAAATTGTAAGAATAAAGGTTTATTGTATGGCGTGGGCAGACTACTGTCTGGTTGCCTAGGCCTAGGAAAGAGAAGGATTAGGGTTCTCAACCGATCTTCGATCAATCCTATATTTACAGTCAGTCCACTACGGTTATCTTTCCGGACACCCTGGCAGCGTTCTATTCAGTCGATCGGCCTGCTTCATAAAATTGTTTACTTTGTTCATTTGTTCGAAAAGTATACTTTGGTCCTTTGTGCATCACGCTTCTGCGTTACGGGAAAACGAGGTCCTACCTAATGCATTCTTCTATTTTGGCTATGGCTAAGTGTAAAACATGGCGATAGCCGCCAAACACTATGCCTCGGGTTCCACTCCTAGCTCAGCTATCTCTACCTGATGAGTCTAAATCAAGACGAAACCGTCGGTCGTGGAGTGCAGAGAGGGGAGAGAGCCACACCGAAACCCTCCATGGATGTATCACGTTTATAATTCGCATTGAATATGTGATTGTGTTCTATTGAGCGCTGTGTAAGGTCTTCGAAGTCCCGGTTCAGCATTTCTTGAAGGTAACTGCGCCACTGACTTAGACTATGCTAATGATATCCCTTTGTTCTATAGCAATCACCAGAGGGTGCAGGTTATTTTAAACTGCTTGTCGATTGGAGCAACTAAGTGTGGCCTAAACATTGCCCTTAAAATTCTCAAGCTTCTGTCTAAGGATTAACATTTATTTGCGTGATGATCATGGCTGAAGATGGAAAAAATATGAATATCGGTAGCTTCATCATCCTAATTTTTCACATTAGTTAGAGGTGGAAAACACCTCAGTTATGGCGTTGTAATACATACAAGAAAAAAAGAAATTAATGCGACGGATGCAACGGATGCATGCCATGTGAGCTATCAGTAACAAATAGGCATCGTTCCGGAAAGCTCCCATCCAGCTACTATACAATAAAAAATATTTAGATGTAAAATTATATTATGTCAAGAAATAAGAGCATGGTTCGTGTGGAAAGCTAAGAAGGATGGGGGGGGACAAAGAAACTCACTGCACGAACCCCATTGAGGTCGGCTCCTAGTCATGTCAGCGCGTATTCATCCAAACGCTTTCGTAGTCTTTCAGACCCCAACCAAGTAGCCAAGACACTCCAGCCTAGGTCATCTTCGAAATGAAGGACTTCATTTCTCTCGACTAAGTTATTGCTCTGTCACCTTTCCTCTTCTTCCATCCAAACCACTGACGCGCAAACAACGCACGTCTAGGGAGGCGGTGGGCTGGCATGCGTAACACGTGGCCGAGCCGGCGGAGCCTGGTGCGTGAAATAACGGTGCTGAGCGGTTCATTCCTGTTCCTGTGCCGTAAACAAGGCGTCCTACACGCTCCTTGCTGACTCGGTGTTCCAATCAGATGTTAGCCAAACTGAGAAGGCACAGGTGGTCAAAGGTAACTAGCGTCTTTTTCGGCTTATCTAAAGTGCCACGGATTCACAGCCGTACAGTGGACAGATAATTTTTGGCCAACGGCACCGTTGGAGGATGGGTTCTCCACGTCACCAAACCCTGATTGGCTTGTAACAATCTGCGGTGTCTATGGCTTCTGCGGAGTGCGTACTTTTGATAGAGGGATGATCAACCCTGCTTATCGCGCGCTGCTATTGCCAGTAGATGATTTTGTGCTAAGTAGTTTGGAGGATGTGTGTCGAAATTCAGCCTTTAAGCAACTGTATTTTGAGGAGGATAGTCCTTGTGCAGTGCAGACACAAGGTTTGTGATAATGATGTCAGAAGCCACGTCTTGAATAATAGTGGTGTCCTACTTGACAGGCTAATACCACTGCTCCAATCGACATGGCTTGGTCACTCTTTGTACATACCATGCGATTAACTACTATGATGCACTTTATTCTCATATAGGAATGTACTGAAAGAACCTGCGTGATGGTGACAAAGTATCAAAGCGCTCACCAACGGTTTAGCTATCGCTAGTCTTATACGTCTTCCAAGCTGGCTGGAAAATATTTGGCGGAGGCCGCATTTACTTGGAGTTGACAGTGAGCACTGCTAACGACTACAAGAAGTTCTACTTGCGTACCAGACTAATGCTCACTGATACTCGACCACAATAAGACACTCAACACTAATCAGGTGAGGTCGTATGAATAATACGCGCGGCCAGAATACCAGCGGAACGACTATACCCTTTGGTTTACCATTTTTTACGGTCCATCACAAAACCCTTTTTGCTTCCCTAATTGGAATCTCTACAAAAGACGATTGGACATGGCTCAAATTGACACTTCGTCACATAAACTTTGCAACGGTGGAATACTTCCACGGTACCCTGGTAATGGCTTTATATATTAAAATGTTACCAGGAGGAGATATAAGCGTCAGCGTTTTATTTCACATATTTTCAAAAAAGCGTTCAATACAACTGCTCCACATATTGTTTTATAAGTTAACATATAATCCCATTTTCATAGTATTGCCTTATGGCATCACATTTGGAGCGGTAGGCATTACACCTGACAACACGACTCTGGTGCTTTTGTAGATAAGATGTAACCATTCTATTGGACTTTTCAAGAGACAGCTATTCTGCCGGATATAAATATTTGTTTATCGAGGGTCAGGGCACATTCAAGTTCAGAAAAATAATTAATAAACACTGCAACTATTCAACTGGATGAAACAAAATCATGTGTGCAATTAAAAAGGATGCTTTTTATATTATTATTATTATTATATTAATATTATGATTAACGACATTCAGTGTCAATATTATTGACTTTTGCTTGATCTTATCTTATTAGCAACATGTTTTTCTGCATTTGCCTGTTGCTGAAACTGCGAACAGCTATTGGACGCAGGCACTTACTGAGGAACCATAAGTGGCTTGCGCTGCACCACTCAAAGCTTATTCCACACACTCCAGTTTAGACGCTAGCTCCATTGGTGGCAGGTTACAAAGTTTGTCGTAGCTCTGGGAGCCAGCTCTGTCTCTGCACCTTCATAAATTGGATGACAATGGGGATGATCAGCGTTGTATCGCAGTTAGAGTGCAGTCATTGCTGTCTGCCACTGTCATCCATGGATTAGTAGCACAGCTTACTGACTCATTAGAGCAGGGTCATGGATTCAAGATCGGCAGAAGCCGGGGGATGAAACGGCCGTTTCTCTTTTTTTGGATATCTGTTGGCTGGCTGGCTGAATAGAAATGCGACGAACCTTCACAAAAACCTAAGGCTATTGTAGTGTCACTTGTTTAATGTTACAATAAGACGTTAGTCATGAACTATCTCATACTAAATCCCTAACTGAAACCTGGAATGGAGGCAACAAAATGATCCTCCGTTGCTTGAGGAATGGCTAGCGAGAGGTACTGACAAACATGCCAAATTGCTCACCAGAACGTCCGATGTTGCATGGCGGGTGAGTATTTACATGGACAGTTGTGTGAAGTAACCCTTGCTCGTGCCTATACCCGACGAGATATTACCTTTGTTTTTCGCATTTACAGTTATAGCTGAAAGCAACCCGTGCTAGCGGTGGCTGGGCAGTTGCTCTGTTGCTTGTATTATCAATCACCTAACCAAAATATATATAAATAGGCATTTAATCTATTTAGCAGCTTTGGTTCCATCAGATAGCAGTAGTTAGATTTCTTTCGAATCTGGCAAAAATTATTGAAGATTAGTGAGCTCTAAAATTTGAATGACTTCACGTTTATTAGAGTTTTATAAGTAGCCATAACCTGAGTATACTGCGTCTCAGCGTTATCTTTTACTAGAGAAATAACAACTTTAAACAAATGCTAGTGCAACTCACTCCGAACAGTAGAATGTTTTAGACAGACGCCGGGGCATTCAGCTTGACTGTTCACAGCATGTCTAAGATCAGTTGTTAAAGATTCGAGATCGACGTTGTCATGCAACCACAAGAGTTTTGCTTCAATAAGCGTGTGCGTGGTAACGGTGGCCACATCATTTTCCATTTGAAAGTAGGCCACTCGAGTGTCTAAGATGCTTTGCTTCACACCAGTTCGATGCAAAGTATCTTGAAGCTGGCGTTTAATGCAAAACATACAAAGGAATGCAAAGTTGGAGTAAGAAACACAGCAACAACCTTTGTAACAGTGGAATGTGATATGGCATAGATGACAGAGAACGAGAAATACCTCAATCAGCTTCAGTTAGGTGCACTGAACACTTCTTCAATATTGAGTCACTAATGAGTACTTTGCATCGATTGTCAAACAACCAACGTAATGTATTACAAAAGTCGTTTCAGCACCGAATTTGAATTAATTGAAGCAGTTTGTTAGATTTAGGCGCGCTAGAATAAATTTCAAACATTTCTCGAAAGTAATGGATCAATAGAATTTGATGGGTGAGACAGCGCATGTATGTCAATTCCAGTAGGATGGTTAAGATGAAACAACATGAAACACAGCATCGCTTAAAGAAGGCTTGATTCAACAAAAGGTTTGCAGTTTTACGGATGTGAATATTCCTTCCTAGATTTAAAGGAGTCTTATATCCTCAACTGTTTCTTCCTTACCGAGACTGCTATTTGATAGTCATTTGGTATATCATATAATGAATATGTACTAGCATGTCGTCCAGTCTTTTTTGTATAGTGATCAGGTTGGAGCAGTGTGTCATAATCGGAGAGTAAATATTTTATCAACGTTTTACTCGGCTATACTGCGGGGCCAGCTTATACTATCGGCCCCTCAGATGTCTTTTGGTTAACTTGCTAAAGATGATTGGGTGTTATTATGATCTGATGCACCATTATAAGAACCCCCGTAGAAGTCTATAGCGTCCCCTGTACGTATTGAGTTTTCAGCCGGAGTGCGTAAGGAAGGCGAGACAAGACTTTGACGTCCTTTGTCACCATGCTATGTGCAGTCTCGGTGCAGTGAGCTAGTGATTTGAATATTGTGTTCCAAGTGACGTGCGCCAAAGACTTGTGGGAAGTCTGAGGCGCCGAAACTATGAACGCCCTACGAAGGATGCTGATGTGCTGATTTGCTTTCTAAGATGCCTATTCATCTTTCACGAATATAACGAGATCGCACTCATGTGCGACGCGCTGCAGACTTTGTGGTCGAAGTCAGGAGTCGCGAGCACTTTGATGGCAAATGATTCGAACCTTACACTTAGCTGCATTGAATACAGTTCTTTACGAACTATGCGTAGGTTTTACGGAGCTGTGTGCTCCATATATATATATATATATATATGTATATATATATATCATCGGCCAGGAGAAGGAAACTTGAATAAGGCACCCTCGCGAATCATTCGTGAAGACCAGCAACAGGTCAGGCCCTAGTAATAAGCATTGTGGTACGCCGGCCTGGTGTTTGACAGAAAAGCTGGGTTACTGCGAACCCTCATCTTCAGCTGACGATGAAGGAGAAACTTTCCTATTCAATTTAGAACGCGGTCACCCATTTCCTGATTCTGAAACGTGTGACGGGGAGTTCGATGAACGAGAGGATCAGACACCATTGCAAAATCCAGCTAAGCGGCGTCTACTACTACTCCAGAATTCACGCATTCCGTCCAGCACGCGTCACCACCAACACGTTAGTACTACTGGGAACATAGTGGCGAAATACGTGTTACTTTGGAGCGAGACTTTTGCAGCTGTCAATGCACCGAGTGACTGCGTCAGCAAGAATGGAGTAAATGACCTTTGAGCACTCCGAAACTAATGATATCGGCTGGTAATTTGCTGGTTCAGCATGGGTACAACTTTTAAAGTTTCAAGTGATGAACGCGTGCTTCCACATTGCAGGAGGTTGCATCTCATTAGGAAAAGTTGAAAACTATTGCCGTTAGTTCAGTTCAACTCATGGTAGACACTTGCGATGCCATTCGACAATTGACGTATGCACCAGGCGTACATCACTTGCGTGGGACATCAGTCGTTTCAGCAAACACGCAGCAGTTAGGAAGATGCGGCCAAGTTCTAGTGGTGATGAGAAATGTGAGAGATTGCTATGAGATAGCCGTACGTGCTGTAAAGCAATAGCGAAATGAGGTCTAAGATTGCCGACTGCTTTTGTAGCAGTTTGCACTTGCCCCAATGTGCATTGCAAAGCATATTAACACGCCTGTAAAGCAGATTCAGATTAAAGCATATCATCATCGCTAAAAGCGACTGGTGTTTCAGTTTGTCTTCATGGAACAGCTTCACACAAGGTTACATTAGGTGAAGTAGCGATTGTAATTTTCGTTGCATGATTTGCCACTAAATGTCTAGAAAAGTGAATCAATTTAGGTCACTCGTTCCCGTGCAGAACCACTAATGCAAGGCGTAAACTTTTACAGCCAAAGAAGTAATTATCTGCTGAATGATAAATGAGCCAGATAAATTGCTTGAGGTACGCACGTCCAGCGATATCTGAGTGCTGTTCTAACAAAAACCATGAAACAGTGAACTAGAGAAGTTGTGGTAATATCATGGTAGGTGTTAAAAACGATCTTCAAAGACGTCCGAGTTGAAGGGTTCAGCGTAAGCAACGTAGCGTAAAAGGATACTTGTGTGATCAATGCACCCCAATTCGCCGCTCAGTGTCACAGTGACAGTTATAACCAAGAACGATAAAGAGGAGTTCAAATATGGCCAGTTGACTCCGCATTCTGAATATCGCAATGGAAGTGTTGCAAACAGGAACGGGGTAGTCCAGTGACATATATTTGAAGTTCCGACTCAACCTCCTCAGAAAGTGGGACCACAACTCATAGCGCGTGTATGTTCAAGGCCCTCACATGAGAAGGAAAGTGTTAGACAACGCCAGTGCGATTTCCATTCCAGAAGCTAGCCGAATGACCACTAGTAAAGTGGATTTCGATGGACGATATACGAGAGCAACTGAACTTACGTCGCCACGCCTCAGCTGCAGTACGCACCAAAGTGAGTCCACCAGATGAGTGACTGGCCGTCAACGAATTGGTGACGTTGGACCCTCACTTGGTTAAAATTACAACGCCGTCCCAACTAGGTCGAACTTTGCGTAGGATGCATACATGTGGCATAGCAATTGCCGTATCAACGATTCCATCGTTCAGCTTGGTCACAGTTAACAACCGCAATTCCATAGACATCAACGCTTGATTAGATTGAAGCTGGTATAAATTGCTGCAGCTGCCTTGATCATTTGCAAACATGTAGGACAGCGCTTTGTATTCAAAAGCTTATCTGAGGGTGCGAGTGTCAGGTACGAGCTTTTGCCGTCCATTTCGAGGTCGGCAGTTAACCGCCGTTTGGTGAATTGCTGAGATGGACATTTGGACCGTTTCACATTGGCTGATAGGATAATTATCTTATATAATCCTCAATTTCAGTAAGAATCGGGAAAGCCATGACCGTTTCAATATTTGTTTGTGCTTCGTAGTGATCCATTTCGAGTTACTGGAATCACTGTCCGGCCCAGCTTACTCTGCTCCCTGCTGATTATCTGGGGTCTGATATCTAGCACATTTAAGCGCTTGTTACCTTACTTATCACGCCGCGTTTCAAGCGCATTTTCTGCCATATGTTTGCAGTGGAACGAAACTTGCATCACCTACTGACCACATTGTTTGTATTTTGATGCTGAGTGTAGTTTTATGATGGAATTGGCGATAATGTTTTCGATTGACAGCATCTGACGAAGGTGGCGACATTCCTCACATCCATGGGCTGGCGCTTCATGATGATCAGAGGTCTGACGCTCCGGTACGTTACACACGGAGATTGGCTATTCCTTGTTCCATTTGATATAGCCATTTGCATTCTGATTACTTTTCTGGTACACACCGCAATGAGGTCGTGAAAAATCCGAACGCCAAATTTTAAAATTGGCACCGCCGTTATGATGCATATAGGACACACGCTTTTATTTCTTTAATTTTTTAAACGTATAAGGAAGGAAGCTGATATTTTTACCTATGGCAACCAACGTTAACCTTGATCTGGATGATATTACTTAGTCATAATTGTAAAAGTTGGATCTCGATGATGATAAACCACAGTTTTCCAGATTATACTCCGTTACTGAGAGAAACGAACGCAGTTTTAGTGACAAGCTCTTACAAAATATATAGCCTGTTTAAAAAATGGCGCATCGGCAAGAAACTCAAAATACGGACTATCTAATAGACTACGAGGTTGTTTTTCCATTGTCGAACTCACGTTGGTCTGCAGGGTCTTTTTAATCCCTGACAACACCGGCGAATCCGGATCAAGATACCCATCTATCCACTGTACCTTTCCAGCCATGGTAGTGAGAATTCCATCCATTCGAATAACTACAATATATTAAGAGGGAATTTTAATGGTTACAACACCATCGACTAACGCTCAACCTCAGATAAAAATCTAATTTTATTTATCTATTGTATGACGTGCTGTATTTTCAGCTTATAATAAAGTATGCTAATATGTGACGTGTATCATTCGAAATTAAATAGTACATAGATTCTTGTTTCCTAAGCTCCCCGCGGTTCGGACTGACTTTCAAACACTCATTAACCGCTGCAACCAGCCTTACCCGTTGTGACGCTGTTGCTTTTGGGCAGAAGTTGCAACAAATATTCCAAGGGCCTGGGTTTGGATGCTTATTACATCTCGTTGATGAAACCAACCTAGTTTGAAACTGATCCTGGAGCGCAGTGTTCTCTTGCGGGAACCACCTAATAATCAGGCGCTTCGTTATTTTCAGTGTTTGTGATCGAAGTAACAAGGTTCACTTCGATAGGAATTGCGGTCTACATTGAGAATGAACGTCACAATCCATTCACAGAACAAGCGATTTAAAATGGCCGTTGTAGTCTACGCGTGAGGACTACGCGCAGTGAATGTATCCTGCGCTTGAGGTAACATTTTAAGAGGCAGTTATTGCTCTTTGACTCGTATTTGATCACTTCTTTGTTTCCTATTACTTAGGAACTACGTCTTTTTCCTATTACAGTGGTATGCTGTTTGATATACAACAAAGTGCTTTGTACAGGAAACTCTTACACTTGCAGCGGAAGCTTCTCAATTTACTAGGGTGCAAATGCAAGTTGTTCTGCATTTGTATTACGG